CATTTCGTCTCTGAAATGGTGACAGGAACGCCAACCTAATTTCATCACTTTCGAAGACGAGGATCCGTGGTCTGGGGATAGCAGAACCTTTTCTGCACTCTTGGGTTATCGTTGTCCGACCCGCTTTCGGAGGACGGGTGTTTTTATAGTTAGAGGATGCCATGCAAAAAGGGGCTTCCTTTCGGCACCAGGGCTCCCCACCCACCACGGAGCCCAACTGGGGGACGGCCCAACACTCCCTCGGGAGGTGGCCGCCGCCACGGCTACCCCGGTGCTATGCGGGGCGAACGACACCTCCCGCACGGCGAGGTGTGACCGGAGGGACACCCTCCCCATCCTGACCGTAGTTCAGCGCCGCCGCCCCTTGACCTCTAAGCCACTGCGCACGGCCAGGCGCCCCAAGCGGAGACCCGCACGGAGCACCCAACCACAGCGCAAACGGCAAGCCGCTAGACCCGTGTGGGACCCCACGGGCCCCCACGCCCCCGGATATCCTGGCCAAAGTGGAGTGTTGGGACGCGCCGTGACTGACGGCACGACGCGCCCCTCAGCCACCAGGATCCGATCAACCCGAGGACGCGGGCGAGGGGGTGCGGCGACCCCGATAAAACGAGGATGGTGAGTGATGAGTGGGCTGGATGCAGGAAAGTGGGTAATGGGAAGGGAGCGGACGTGGCAAGGAGCGGGAGCTCGCGTACCGGCAAGGTCGCTTCGCCCTGAGAAGAACAGCTTGCGCTGTCCACCTGTTACCGGAGCTGGGACCCGAGGGGGCGCTAGTCCCCTACACCGACCAAAGCCGGTGCCCCTGCGAGGGCATGTAGCTCAGAAACTAGAGGTTTAGGTCTTAAGAAGGGCAGGGCTATGAACTGCAACGAATTATCTTGAAGATAGACTTTCCAGACCAAAAGCCCCGTACAAATGTGGAACACTCCCTTTAATGCATTCACTTGCTGCTGAGCTTACCTCTGCCGCAGCAAAGAATGAATGAACGGAAGGTGAGCAGAATACCGCCGACAGTCGGCGATCAAGGCGCGTATCTTTCATAACAAATTGTTTTGCAGACAAGCACACACAAACAAGACGAAATCAAGATGACATCTAAATGGAATAAGGTACAAAACGATGAAACACGCAATATTCCGACGCGTGAGGTGAAATTTATTTCGCCGCTAAACTGACCGCAGTTTCGACAGACGCGTCTCGCAGTCAATACTTCCGATATGCCGCATTTTGCGGCTTGCACGATGATTACTGACGCAGCAGTGCGTCGCACAAAATTGAGCTGCTTATATGAATTGATGGCGGCACGTTGGTTAATGCTTTGATGCTGGATTCATGCCTACGTCGGATCTGGCTGCCATAATACGGCACAGAGCGTACAAAAAGATTTAAAAAAAACGGCTGAATCCGTCCTCACCGCAACTCTGCGCATGGCACGTGGAAAGCGCAGCCCAACAAATGACATTACGCGATTTCCCGTTCAATTCGTTATCAAAACGTGCCAATTTCGTGCCACTTCGGCGCATAATTACCGAGATGCGGCTGCAATCTCAAATTGTCGTTCGCCGGCTCCGGCGATTGCTGCTTTTTCGGGTCATCCATGTAAAACCAAGGCGCTAAAAAGCAATTGCGGCACGCGCCACGCGCGTGCACGTACGTCATCGCGTATACATATGCATGGTATCACAATTTCACATTGAGCGGCCTGTCAGTCGACCTTCAGTGCTGCTCACATGTTCAATCAGTTTCATTTGGCAGAATGCCGGAACAGGTAGACATTGTCTCTGACGTCATCAACCGACTTGGTAAAACTTATAAATTAATTTTTGGACGTTCTAAGCTGATAAAAGCGGCTATGATGCTATAAAGTGAATGTATGTAGATCATTTAAGATGTTTATTCAGGTTGATATCCACTGATTTTTTCTTAAACTCCCAAAATTGGAACATTTGGATACTAACATTTCTTGCAGCACTTCATGGTTGTGCCTGTTTGCGGATGATAAGTTGTTCACGATTCGCGTTTCTGTTGTGAAGCGAGTGGTGTGGGGTGTGCTGACGTGTGGTGCGATCGCGGTCGTGTGGATGTGTGGTGTGCGTGAGAGTACGCGGGAAGCTATCATATTTTGTCCGTTCGGAAAGCAGGGAGCATATTTATCTCCTAATCCCCGTGCAAGTGCAAGATATCGACGTGAACAGGCTTGGTGAAAACATGTGGCAATCGCGGTGGAGCTGTTCGAAACTAAGTGAATGAACTGAGCTGAGAGCTAAGTTTCCAGCGACTAACTGACGAAGATCCTCTTGAAGCAAGAGATCCACTGTCAAAATGTCCTCGAAAGAAGTTTATTGCATAGTAAGTTGGCCGTTATATACTGTTCTTCAATAGCTATGTGCGATGATCCGTAATGTGTTTACTGCACACTAAATCTGTGATTGGTGTAGTATTATGGTTTCCCTACCACTAGAAGTATAGTTGTGGAAACATGTGTTATGCCAGACGTTTAAGGCATAGCAGACACATTACAGCAAGAATTGTATCACATGTGTGCAAAACATCAGTGCCCAGTGTTTGTAGCACTGTCACCAAGTTCATTGTATAGAGCCAATGTCTTAGGGTAATTTCAGGAAATGATATTCTGCAAGCAATTTGATCCTCAGAAAGAGAAAACTCAACAGAATTGCAGTCAGCATGAGATGGCCATAAGACAGTGAGTTTCAGCACTTCAAAATTGTGAAGGTATCAGTCATAAACATGGCTGTTTTACATCATAGCCAGAAGCTGATGTTATTGTCAGGAGTTGGCATAACCTGGCCAGAACTATCAAATTTTGTGTTTGTGGCTCTTGCATCATTTTCTTCATTCTGGGCCAGGCAGCCTTACATGTCAATGGAAAGTGAACAGACTGTTTTCCAGATACTGCATTCAACTTTTGGAAGTAGTGCTTTTTGGATATGTGCTTATCCTTAGTATGCCACTAAACAATAGGGTTAGAAATGTTAGTGCCCCATATGTCTTATACAGTGTCACGACAACGGTACACCCTATTTTTTAGGCACTGAAACTTGGTAACTGCTTATTCATTCAAGTTGCATGTCCAAGCAGTAAATACTGTTGAGTATATGAGAGGAGAAAGATGTTTGGTGTAGGCCCTCTGACATGGTTAGAAATTGAATACTTTGCCTGAAAGTCCATGGCAAGGAATGTCCCAAAATGCCTGGGGGCCCCCACTACCCCAGAAGTAGACAAGCCATATTTTTACCTATGATTTACCTCCTGAAAAATGCGTGCTTTTTTGGGGATTGGCTAATCAAAGGTAATTGGCTGTGTAGTTTTTGACATGCAATCTATAACTTTAGAATAAGGATGCAACCAGCCATATGGTCTACTACAACTATGTTTCCAAAAATTTTAGATATGTTGTTCCTTTCCTCCACTGAGTTGGGTGTCTGCATATACTCCTTTCCTGGTATGCAATATATATTATATGTGACATTAATATATATATATATATATATATATATATATACATCAGCTGAATACAGCCAATATAGTTTTGGTATATAATGGTGTTTTTTAATTTAGCAGTGCTTATTCAAATCTGGCTTCCAAACTATTCAGGACATGACCCATATGCTAAGAGAATGGGTGTTTGGAAGGGGAGGAGCAATAGCTTCATAACATTAGTTAAACCCACAGTGGCTTCCATATTTCTGAAGTAAACTTGGCAGCACTGTGGTGATCATGATTAAATTGAATTTGGCTGTTGTGGCAATCAACTTGCACCTGCTGCACAACTGATTCTGCATCAGCTCAATTTTGAAGCAGACCATGCATGAACCAAGAAGCAACAAATTTGTGAAGTGTCAGGCAGTGTTGCCAGAGATAAAAGGTTTTATGTTCCTAGAGTATGCGTCTTATCTGCATATTGTCTTAGAGGTGGCATCTATGGTGACCCTTCTCATGCTTGCATACTCAGTCCATGAAGGTCAGATCAGTCCAGGTCAGTTCCAAAATAGGGGTTATATGGAATCACTATTCCACATACACAAACATGATTGTAGCCCCTCTGCTGTGTTTGGGAGTTGCCCACCATACACCTGTTGCATGCATTACCATGCCAGGCAATCAGTTAACAGTTCATTTGTTCCATCACCCTTTTCTTCTTTGTGTTCATTAGCTAGCACTGGGTCTGGAATGTTGTAGTGCGGGCCACCTGTGCCACAGCAACCAACATTACTGTGTTCATACTTTCCACACACTCAACTAACCTCTGGCAACAGTTCCACGCAAGATTCCAAACTAGTTTGTCCCCGGAGAGCGTGCGTCGCACAAAGCTCTGCCCCACCAGTCCAATGCTGCTGGGCGGCCAGGCGTCTGATGTGGACGGCAGCGGGCGCTGGTCCGGACCCGGAGACGCCTCGTGCAGCTCGGAGGCCACGGCGCCGGCGGCTGCCGCCCTGGGGGACGATCCGCTCGTGTGCAGGCTGTCGTCCAGCGTCCCACAATGTGACTTCTGTCTCCGATCCGCTCGCGTGCAGGCTGTCGTCCATCGTCCCACAATGTGACCTCTGTCTCCGATCCGCGCGTGTGCAGACTGTCGTCCAGCGTCCCACAGTGTGACCTCTGTCCCGGACCGGCCAGCCACGCGTCACATGTTTACTGCCGGTGGCGGCCGGCGGGGCGGGGCCGGACACCGAACCAGCGCCCCTCGCGCGCACCAGGCTGACCAGTCCAGTCCAGTCCATCAGACCAGGCGCGTTGAGCGCCAGGCTGGCAGAGGCGATTCCAATGACTAAACGTGAGTTGAGCAGAACCGTCACTTTCGTCACCGGTTTGGCCAGTCCAGAGCAAACAGCAGGCTTTAGGAACGTCGTTGCATGCGGGGAATGGCACTGCACGGTACCGTAAACAAGCATATCGCCGACGGCTCGTGTCCCGGGACGTAGCTCCGCGGCCGCCGCTGCCGCCGCGGTGTCCCAGAGCGTCAGTGCTGAAGTGGCTGGCCAGCACCGGTCGGCACCGGCCGTCCCCGCACTGCCCAGCGCTGACCCTGGGGGACCGAGTGACGGCGGAACGGTGTGCGCGAGCGAGGAGCGAGAGCGGAGCATGGCCCACCGGCTGCGTCAGGTAGGGTGCCGACGCTCAAGCAGGCGCTGCCTTTCCCCGACGGCTGATGCGGCAAGATGGTGCATCAGCTGATCGTGTGTTGTCTGGGATCTCAGTGAGATCCTGTGCTGTTCGTCTTATCCCGCCCTTGGTGTCCCGGTTTTGGTGGAGGAATTAGGCCAAAGCTTCCTATGTGGTAGTTATCAGACTGCAACACCAGTCAGTGCGATATAATGACAACTACATTAGTACATGTACGATTCAGCCACGCAAGTGATGTCGTAATTTGGTGAGGTTTTTATCACCGTGAAAATTCGCTATGTGGCCCTCGATAGAGGACCTACAGCTAAATGTGCTAGGCTAGGCGAGGAACCTAAACTGGCTGGTCTAGGTTCTGTGTGGCACCAAGTGGTAATAATCGAGGCACGGCGGTAGATCTGCGGCATGATGGTCCAAGCTCTGTGTTAAACGTGGAGCCAAATACTCCTGGTCTGGGGATGGGCCACGTCCGAGATATAATGGTTCACCAACGAAGTTCGGACTTGGTCGGTGGACTCGATCTGTGAGGAGTTCTCTCAGGCTCGCTGGCGTACCTGGTGACTGTGCTGGTCTGGTGGTGAGCGCAGGGGCTTAGGCACCTCAACTTCACTGATGAACTGATGTGGTGGAGTCAAGGCCAGATGGAAGCCTGTGGCCCAGACCGGTGGCGGTCCTGGAGGAGGGTGGACGTCCGTGCTGCGTGTCGGCGTGCAGCCATTCCGGCGGCGAGATGCCGCTGAAAGGCGACACTGGCACCTTGTCGGCGTGCGGTTAGGTGGCGGCGAAACGCGAGCTGGCCGGCGGAGTGGGAAGCCGGACAGGGGCGGCCCGGCCCGACCGACTCAACTCAGCAGTAGGCGGTGCTGTGGCCGAGGCGGGCTGTGCGTGAAGACGTGCTGCAGAGTCGTCGGGTGCCTGTGTCCGGAGAGACAGCCTGGCGCCGGACGGTCATCAGCGACCGCACCCGTGTTTCGTGCGGGACTGCCGAGTGTCACTCGGTCAGCAGAGGCCAGGGCCGTCCCTCGCGGACTGCCGAGTGTCGTCTAGTTATCAGAAACGAGGTCCGTTTCGCGAGACGGGCTGCCTAGTGTCCTCCCGTCGTCACAGGCAGAGCCCGCGTCCGCCAGGAGCGCCGTGCGCCACCTCGCCAGAAGAACGCGATGTGGGAGCTGCAGTCGGCCAGGGACGCCACCGCCGCCGCCGTCCGGGACGGCGCTCTGCCAGCTGGCGCCGGGCGCCGCTCGGGCGCGCGCTGATCGTCGCCATGATCCTGCGTCTCATCCGCGACTACGTGCCGGGCCGACGGGAGCGGCCGGCCGTGCGGGACGTACTGCACGAGCGGTACGCGCTCTGCGGCCTATCTCAGCTGGGCCGCGTGCACCGGCGCCGTTACGCGGTCGTAAGTCGCCCGCCAGTGGCCCAGCTCGGGCCCGGCCCGGACTGCCGCCTGCTGCTGCCCAGACCGAGGCTCGGCGGCATTTGATGGACTCTGTGCCGTCTGTCCGGCAGTTGTTTGGCCCGGCGGCGAAGAGAGCCGTCAATGTCATGGAGGCCAGACTTTGTGCTCTGTTGAGCGGCGATGTTGAGTTGCTTGTTTTGCGCTCAGTCATACTGCCATTCTGATGGCCCTTTTGCAGGATTTTGAAGGAGATTTCTGAATTGAAGGAGAGGATTCTTGGATTTTGGGAGGGATTTGGGGATTTTGAATTTTGAAGGATAATTCTGACGGCTGTTTACAGCATTTTGAAGAGGATCATAGCCGAATTATTCAGCCACTCTGGAGGTCTCCCAAGTCTATTCAATGATGTCAAAGTCAAAATAAATTCCGTAATGGTTTTAAGAGTGCTGCAGATTGGTAACACCCGGTCCTCGCATATCCCCGCGGCTTATCGCTGTCGCTGTGTTAAACCGGCGGACACCGTGCGTCTGATCAGAATCGGATAGTGGGCGGTCGGCTCCAGGCGGTGTCGCGCTCACCGCGTTGGACCGCCGGTCAGCGTCCTCCCCTCTCGTCTGATCAGTTTCCGATGGTGGACGATCGGCCCCAGGCGGTGTAGCGCTAACCGCGTTGGACCGTCGGTCAGCGTCCTCCCCTCTCGTCTGATCAGTTTCCGATGGTGGACGATCGGCCCCAGGCGGTGTAGCGCTCACCGCGTTGGATCGTCGGTCAGCGTCCTCCCCTCTCGTCTGATCAGTTTCCGATGGTGGACGATCGGCCCCAGGCGGTGTAGCGCTCACCGCGTTGGACCGTCGGTCAGCGTCCTCCCCTCTCGTCTGATCAGTTTCCGATGGTGGACGATCGGCCCCAGGCGGTGTAGCGCTCACCGCGTTGCGCCGTTGGTCAGCGTTCTCCCCTCTCGTCTGATCAGTTTCCGATGGTGGGCGGTTGGCCCCTGAGCGGTGTGGCGCTCACCGCGTTAGGCTTGGCGCTCACCACGTTAGGCCGCCGGTCAGCGGCCGTCCTGACGCGGTCCCCTGAGCGGCGTGGCGCTACGCGTTGGGCCCCCGGTCAGCGGTCCTCCTGACACGGTCCCCTGAGCGGTGTGGCGCTACGCGTTGGACCCCCGGTCAGCGGCCGTCCTGACGCGGTCGTCTGAGCGGTGTGGCGCTCACCGCGTCAGGCCGCCGGTCAGCGGCCATCCAGACGCGGTCCCCTGAGCGGTGTGGCGCTCACCGCGTCAGGCCGCCGGTCAGCGGCCGTCCTGACGCGGTCCCCTGAGCGGTGGCTCGGCCACCGGCCGGAGCATCGGCCTCCGATCAATATGCGGCGCTGTAACTGCGTCTCGGCCGGCGCTGCTCCCGTCCCGGGCCCGGCGGCGGTCGCCGACCCCAACCCCAATGCCAACTCCGACCCCGACCCCGACCCTCCTCCCCGCAAGAGGGGCGCATGCCGGGCCGAGGCCGGCGCTACCGGCGCTTTAGTCATGGCGATGATGTGACCGACAGGTCATTCCCGTGTCAACCTGGTGGTCGTTCCAAGGGGCGACGAACTCATGGCACCATCCATAGTATGTGCGGGCCACTTCCTGATATGATGGCTCGTTCAGAGTCAAAGTCGAGATCAGAGATGAATTTTAAACCTATGCTGCCATCTCCATCTATGTGGAAGAACATGCCTCACAGAAGGCTATGTTTCCCTCGACATCCAATCACCAACCCACGAAACATATTGTCATCGCAATCCAGCTGAGCTGTGGCGTATCGTGAGTCTTGGACTCCGCTATCACGAGCAGAAGACTGACCGCCGTTAGCGCCGGCATGCGACGCAATCACAGCAGCAGCCCGGGTGTGAAGCACTCAGCAGGCGTGGATCAGAAGCGAGCGCTGGTACAGTCTGGGAGAGGCGGGCCCATTCGCCCTGTGTCGGAGACGCTCGCGGCGTCGAGCTGACGCTGTCCGCCCGGCCGTGGCCAGCATTTCTGGAACGCAGGCCCGGGTGCAAGTTTCCGGCACTTAGCGAAACTACTCTGGCAACAGCACTGAATCACGGTTCCTCTGACATGGTCAGGATGTGGAAGGAATGGCCGTCTGGGTCGCCGGAGCTGTCGGAATGTCAGCCGGCGGCGCTGGAGTGTTCCGACACATCCGGAGTGTATTCCGACACATCTGGAGAGCGCTAACTTTTTTCCAGCTCACTGTCGGACGACCTGTCGGGTGTTCGAACTTTGGCACGTAGTTACGTCGCCCATGCATTGCGACACATGTAACTGTCGAGGCTTTGGACTTAAGTTTGCGCTCGCGGACTAGAAAGCGAAGTCCTTTGAAGTTTATCAGGTGCGTTTGCTGCGATGCCTTAAATGTTGGGAAGTCACGGGAAGCTAGCCAGTTACTTGCCATTGTCGCCAGGCGTGTGTGCAGCCACACGCAAGGCCAGCTCAGCGTCCGTTCTTGGCTCGAGATCGTGGCCGCGTGCAGAGTTCGGCAGGGCCGCTAGCACATCTGGGCGTCCTGCACCACTGTGGCCCTCCGACCGTTCGCGTGGGTGTCCGTGCGGTTCGCTGGTACCGATCGGCCAATATGTGTCGTCGCAACACTCGCCAGTCGTCATATCCAGTATCCTGGCCATCAGGACGGAACCCACCGGGCCGGTAGATTCCCCTGAGCCTGTAGTGCAGTCCGTGCCGTTGGGCTGGGCCTGCGGCTGGGCCGGACGGCCCGGACTGTCGTCACCGCTGTACCGGCACCTCGGCGTCGCCGGTGCGGCCGGCTGACCCGGGCGCGACCTGGGGCGGCGCCTCTGCGGTCCTTGCCGCTGGGCTGAGCTGGCGGCGGAGCCGGACGGCCCGGGCTGTCGTCACCGCTGTACCGGCACCTCGGCGTCGCCGGTGCGGCTGGGCCGGACGGCCCGGACTGTCGTCACCGCTGTACCGGCACCTCGGCGTCGCCGGTGCGGCTGGGCCGGCTGACCCGGGCGCGACCTGGGGCGGCACCTCTGCGGCCGCCGCGCCGCCGGGTCACCGCTCGGCCGACGTCGCTTTCGCCGCGCCGCAGAGCTCGGCCGCCGGGGTCGGCGGGGCTGCCCAGCGGCGGCAGCTGGCGCTCGGCGTCCTGCAGCCAGCGACGGCCTGTTGGGAGCGGCGCGGTGTGGCGCCGCCCTCTTGATGCGTCTGGACCGGCCGCCAGCCGCGTCCTCATTCGGGATGAATTGGAAACCATCCGGTTTGTTGACCGGGCCTGTTGTTGCGTGAGAGTTCTTGCTGAGAATAAGTGCTCGAAGCGGGTGGCATTCATGCGATGCCGCCGTACCTATTGTGCTGTCAGAAACGATAATTGCCTTGTGTGAGACAAAAAGTGGAGCGTTCGGAAAATCTTGGGCCTCCAGTGCAATGACAAGCTCGAGCGTGTTGGTGCCGCACTGCTAACGTCGCGAGCACTTCATGGCTGGCGGTGCATTCTCTCCTCCCTCACCAGCCCGAACGGAGCGCCTGCATCGTGCTGGCGTGCGCCACCCACCCGGTCGTGATTTCCCACCCCGTGTCTGA